GAAACGGTTACTCAATTCTATATAAAGCGAAGGATACAAAAGCACCGACAAAACAGCGTATCGATGGTTATATGCAGTTATAATTGATTCCATGAAAAGGACGAAGATGAAAAATTTTTTTTCCTGCTTTTTTCTCAGTTCAAGATATAGAATAGATAATAATAACATTTTTCAATATTTATTGAGCAGTGCTCCTATATGTTTGTTATAAATTTAAGATTTACTTCTTACCAGTTGTTTTATTGTTCAATGTTTGAAACGATATTTCGTAAACATATATGGATGGATAAGAAAGAAAATCTTTAAGAAATGGCAATCGTCATTTTTAGTCGAACTATTTACAGGCTACATTGTAATTTTTTTTAAATGATTTTGAAAATTAATAAAATCTATTGATCGCGATTTTGTAAAGTATTTCAAATACATTTAAATCAACATCTTTGTCTTTGTATTTGACATTTAATTTATTGTTTTTTTTTTTTTTTCAATTAATTATACAAATTACAATAGTATTTATTCTTAATTATGCTTTTTTATAAACTATAATATTTACAATATTATTCACTTCATAAATACAAGAGATAACAATTATATAAACAATTATTTATTAGTCCAATGCTTGTGCAAGAGTTCTGCGAAATTCATATTAAAATTAAACTGACACTTTTTCCTAAGCTTAAAAGTTATTGTCGTTGGAAATAGAGGTATATTTGAGCGATTCTCCGGATTTATATAGCTAATTATCCTAATTACAATGGTCGTTTTCACATGAAAATTCTTTAGACGATGGGTATTAGTAGAGGTGAACTGTGACTACGAGTCTACAAGAATAAAACAGATTTTCATTGCAAGTCTGTCTTTACGATGAATCATTTGTCATTGTTAATTATATGTGGATCTTTCAAGGATAAATGTGTGATGTCTCGCTTGCTCGTTTGCTCGATCTCCTTCCCTCTCGCTCCTCACATTATCAGTCTCTTTTATCCACTGTACGATCGGATTTATCTTCATTCCCTCTCTTCGTACGTATTGCAGATATACATTGCTAGGCAGCAAATAATCGTTACTCTATCCCTATCTAAAAATAAATGTCACCGGGGACGGAGTCGAATGTTATTGATTATTTTATCACACCTTATTTTATTGTTCTTATGCGACAATCAACAGGTACGCAGCACATACAATACGAAGCTTGCGCTTTTCAAATAATTCGTAATTCGATAACTTTAGCACCACTAAGGTATGCGACACCGTTATTTACTCAAAGCACACGACGAGGAAAATCATGGCTCGAAAAACTCTTGTTCATAAAAGTATTGGTTATGGGGAGCGCCGATGCATTCCGAGCCAGAGAATGCCATTAGTGCATTGGATGCCGACGGTGATGAATGACTGGGATTATCCCAAACATACATACGCCCGCATGGAGCCTTATATAACCATCAAACGCCTTTAAATTTATCCGCGACTTTTTTCTCCCTCAACCGTGGAATTTTTTGAATTCGCCTGATTATTGTCCGTATAATGGATCTCTGTCAGTTTATTTCCATTTTTTTTTTTTTTTTGGAAGAAGCGAATGTCAAAAAGATTTTACTTTGAGAGTCATTTTGATGCAAAGAACGCATAACCTTTATCCTGGTTTAACGCATTTAATGTCGAGATAGTGGCAGTAATGAATGAATAAATGAATTATACTATGAGGGATTGGTTAAACGTATTGTTTGCATATTATGATCAATGGTCAGGACAAGAGGCTTATAATGCACGAATGACTTTTTATAAATTGACAAATAACCATGAAAGAACAATCAGTCTGAGTTTTAATACCGAAGTCCGTAAAGTACATAATTCGCTCTGGGTCGCTAACTATATTTAAAAATTTAATTCGTTTTGGCCTTAGTCACGGACGGCGTGGAATGTTTCATAAACGCGGTCTGGTATGTGGCTTCACTATTGGACGGTGAGAAAACAAAAGAGAAGAGTTTGTGATTCAACCAAGTAAGATAAAATACCAGTGAATAGGATGGAGAAGAGAGAGAGAGAGAGAGAGAGAGAGAGAGAGAGAGAGAGAGAGAGAGAGATTGAAAAGCGATCGCGATGTCCCTTGCCATTTAACACTTTCAACATTTTTTCAATGTCTTTTTTATTTTTTCTTTTCGGAATAGTAATGCAACTGAACACTCGCGAATCTTGATGCCTTAGCGATTTACGCTTCTGTCAATTTAAGGCGTTGATGAACAAATAAAATATTGTAAGAATGTATTTATGACACACCCAGCCGCTTAACGTTAATATTTTTGTCGAAAAGGCAATGCTACTGGGACAAACATACCGAATTCCGAGAACATGCGGTGTAATGTTAATAATATTATGCCGATAACCTACATTAAATTCGTTCTAATCAATACATTACGTATAATTTCTTGTCGAGAGTCAATAGCATGAAATTTATATAAATGTTTCAACAAAAATTGTATGTGCATTTGCACATGTAAGTGTCCTCTTTAGCGAAAAAAAGCGGCCTGAGTCAACGCACTTTCTAATGCTACATATCATAATTTACAGCGTACGTGCACCAATTGGTTACCAAGTACTTAATCAATCACAAGTTTGCATGCGATTGAAATATAATTTCTTACTTTTGCTGATTTCTTATTTTGTAAAAATTCTTGTACAGTATTAGACAATGATGGAATTATATTGAAAATATAAACAAAATATTTTTTTATGTAAAGGAAAACATCCATTATTTGACGTAATTCTACAAAACTTTTTACCGGAAATCTCAAGAATGTAGCTTGTAATTTTATAAAATTGCAATTATATAAAATTATAAGTGCGCAATAATTATTGAAAATTTGATTGCTTAAAATTTTTAATGATGCAAACTATGTAGTGATCACTGTTTAATATTTTCAAATATAAAATGTACTGCTAAGAATTTTGACATATTATTTAAAATTTTAAATCTGTAAAACCAGAATCACGTATGGTACGAAATTTTTATTTTTCATAAACATAAACAATTTTTTATTGGTTTAGGTGAATAAGACACGTTTTGACGTTTATAAGCACATTTATTATTATATTGCTAAATATAACAGAAATTTTGGTTTATGTAATATTTTTGTATAAATTTTTATTATATCCATTATTATATGTATAATAAAATATAATGTTAATATTATGAAAATTGCGACAAGTATTACAATACTTATTATCAAAATAGAATTATTAAAATGATTTATAATAGATTTTCATTAGACCCTTTCACTCCTTCCATTCCTGTTTATGAAATTATTATATTAAATTTTGACGTTATAATGTGTATATAATGATGAAAAAATAAAAAATAAAAAAATTAATGAAAATATAATATTTTTGTCGCGAATTTCATTATTCTATGTGTTTCTTCTTACACATAAATTTTTATTATAATAGTATTTTGAAACCAAGATGTAAACGATCTCTTTGGCATTTTGGGTCCATACACATTTATAAATAGTTCGGAAAATGTAACGAGCTATTTCAAATCTGCTCCCATTTTACGCAACAATAAATTATAGGAAATTTTATAACTTATATATATATATATATATATATATATATATATATATATAGTGTTGAAAATAGTATAATAAAATAATTGAAACGTTAACATGCCTAAATAAACTAAAATAATTTTAAAAATAAACATTATAGTTATTTCACGCATAAAAAAATATATCTACGATAAATTAAATTTAAAAATATTTTTATCAATTTAATCAGATTTTAAAGTTAAATAAGGCACATGAATAATTAAAGCGATATTCATGCGAACAGAGAAAATAATTACCATATTTTGCAATTTATAAGATTGATAAAGATAAAACCTGTATTATGAACAATAAATGGTAAAATAATACTGAAAAATAAATGAAGTCACATTTCTATAGAATTTAAAATAAGTGAGGTGGCTAAAAAAAACAAGGCCATGTTATTCTCATTAATTATTGTTTTGGAATATCAGACTTGTTTTATTGGCAATATTTCGTGTAATAACATTAATTATTTCAGTTGGTATTAGTAAACAGTATAATGACAAGGAACTTGTCGTTATTGTAATCAAAAGTATAGGTATATTTGATAATGCATAAACAAAGTATCTTTTTGGTCATGAAACTATGATCAAAATTCACACAATTCAAAGAGCGGATAAAAGTTATTATTAAAAAAGAAAACTATAAAATTTATCCTCCTTCTTTTATAACACAATGGAATGCTTCTTAATAGTACGTAATAGCATGATGAATACGAATATTGAGAAGCGAGATGGAGAAAAGTCTAGAGATTGATATGAATTGGGACCATTGATTATCTCGACAATGTATATTATTATATTACTAGCAATTATATCGTATCTATAATAATAGAAACTTATTCCATTTTTATGAATTAACTTATCCATTTCACGAAAAGTGAAATAAAACAAAAAAATAAGAAATATTTTAAGGCTAACATTCAGTTAGTTAAACGACTTCGTTTAACTAGCCTCGTATGTGTTTACGCGTGCGTAAGCAAGTGAGAAAGTAAGTGCATGATGGTGTGAGAGGGGAGGGGCAGACTTTATATGTACGCATGCGCGGTAATAAAAGAAAAGTTTGTCGGTTTTAACTTTAATTCTGTTATTAGTCTTCAAATTTCATGAATCTCTTGAAAATCGTTTCGATGTACTATCTAATGAAATAAAGGAAGTCGATAATCAACAGGCAATCGATATGAATTGCAATTTGTTCAAAGACAAACTATTTTAATTTAATACTTTTACATTATTTTAGGTACGAAATATCGCTACATATTATAAACTTTATTTTCAATAAATGAAAGTTAAATATGTCAATCACAAATAGATGTTATATCACATTAAGCAACAAGTAATCCATCTTTTAAAAGTTTATTTACGCCTCGATAAAGCTGGTAATGCTGTACTCTTCCTAAAAGACTTGTGCGTTATAATTACAATATCAACAAAACAATAAAGCATAGTTCACCGAATTATTAGCACTTTTCAATAGCTTATAGTTAAGGCATTTGATGCTATCCACATAACGAACTACTATTGCGGAAATAACTACGAAATGTGTTGGAATAAAAAATGAAATATTATTGAGCAACAATGTTCAAATACTTAAGGAGCTTAGAGAATCATTGTCTTTTTGGCCCGCGAGTTATGCTCACAAAAATACAAAAAAAAGAAACAAAAATAAAATAGAAAAAACAGTGAAATAAGAAAAAAGCCAAAAAAAAAAACAAAAGAAAACAATAGTACGAACACAATGACTAATGAGAATGCTCTTACTAACGCAATCGTTACTCGGTGCAATCAAAAATTCCTGAGAGATAGCGTCGGCGGTTAGGAGGGTCTCTCGATTCTCGATAAAAGACGCGCGCAGCTTCTTTCTCTTCAACTGGCGAGTGCGTGTGCACTGAGCATCGCACGTGGTGAAGGGGCTAGTGGAGGGGGCCGAAGCCCCGGGAGGTGGGGTTCGAACACCGACGGCAGCGGCGCCGCTCCATGGCCGTAGTGTAGCACCGGCCGTGATGAAGAGATGAGTGTTGGAGCTTCGAATATGGGTATTATATCGTCAAAACTTGCGCCTGTGGCCATAAGGTTGGCTTGGTTCTGTCAAAAGCTTCTCGATCCGAGATACAGGTGAGCTATGCCTTCTCCTACTTTCTTTTTACTTATCGATCGAGCCTCGAGGCGAAGCTCAATCGGCATTTTAATCGTTTATTGTCTCGCGTGACTGATACAACCGCTTAAACAGAAGTTGCCGGAGGCATTTTTACGAACAGAAAGACGCGCGAACGTTGCTTTAGTGAAATAATATACAAATTTGTGTTCGGAGAATAATAATTTGTTAATGGGATTATTGCTATTCAATATTAGTATAATATGCTGATGATTTTCGGCAAGTTGACTGCAGCATTATACGAAATTGTAATCCTTAAGATAAGTTTATCGTGCACGTTTTCGGTAAACAAAATATTTTTCATCAAATTGACGTAAACTTTTTTTTTCTTTTTTTTTTATATTTACATATATAACGATATTTTGGTTCTTGGTAGCATAGCATATTAGTTAAGAAATATTTCAATTAGAATTTCATTAGAATTTTGTGGTTTAGCGAGGGATTCCGCTCCTCCTACTAATGTTGTATTCAAACATAACACCATTGTTTGTGTATGAAATAATGTCGTTAAAATGACAAAAGTCTACAAACTGTTAGGTATTGAATAACCTGTGTGTGTTCGCTATGCAGTTCAAATAGTTTGAAAAGTTAGTAAATCACGTCACAGTCTGTATAGGCTTGACCAAGAAACACCAAGATTGTAAGCCGGGAGAGTATCTATAAGTATTTATTGAGAAAACGCTTAGGTAGAAATAAAATTTCGAGAATTCCTGTCTGCATTCCACCGTCAAGGCTTTACGCATACCGTCATAACACATTATGTCTAATGGCATCGGGCTTAATACGATAGCATCATTACCGTTAATCCGCGAAATAAGAAAAATAATTAGCATGGAATCCGTGGAATCCAAGGGTGCGAATTAACGATTTATGTAAAATGATGAGTAAGCGCACAATTATGGGCCGTCGATAATCCGCTCGAAGAGTCAAACAAATCTCATGTTGTTCGTACTCGGACGGTGAATAATGTAGGAGTGGACTTTTCATTATATTGTATTTGAACGTTTGATGTAAGAATGTTTCGCGTTGGCCGTTTACATTGGGAGGGCAAAATAACGATAGAACGCATTGGATATTTCCATTAATGAAATTGGTTATTAATGTACGACAATGCTTGCGAATCGTCATGAGCTCTCGAGGAATTTTAGGATGTGACTTTTCAAGAGTGTACATACGCAGGCGTGACTTTAATCTTCCTCAATTTAACATTTTATCAGAATACTTTGCACACGCATTGAATATTCGAAAATATTTATAGACTTTCATATTTTTTTGTTTTTGTTTTCGTCTTTGTTATTGTGAGTTCCATACCATTTTCTTCTTTATGGATATATTCATACAAAAGTATTTACATTTTTAAAGCAATTAAGTAGTGCCAGCACCGCTGATTTTTATTCACATTCTAAGAAAAATTGTTTATACATACATATATATATATATATATATATATATATATATATATAAACGACTTTTTATCCAAGCACATACGATAATTCATTAAAGGCTTTAAAGAAATTAAAAATTCAAGGCTGAATAACGAATACATATACATATACATATGCATATGTTAATTGAATATTTTGCAACGCCATGCTTGCATTTTCATATACTTCATGTATGTTTTATTAAATATATATATATATATATATGTATATATATATACATATATATATAGTGAATAATTTAATAAAACATACATGAAGTATATGAAAATGCAAGCATGGCGTTGCAAAATATTCAATTAAATTCTTGTAAAGCATACGCTAGTTGTGTTAATTGCGCGTTGGTGCAATTGTAAAGAGGGACGCGAGACGCGTAGAATCAAAGTAATTTGAGTAAAAAAGTGAACGATGCTCGCCGATAATTAATTTTTAAAAGGGGAAAATACGCGTGTGCAATAAAGCGAATCGCCGTATCCGATTTTCAGGATTGGTGACAATAAGAAAGCAACGAAAGTTACGGATTTTCACGTGATTTTCCGCGACGAGAGAAGCCAAAAGCCGATGCGAGACGATGTTAAACTGGCAATTTTCATTTGTTCGCGCCGATCGAGAAAAGAGACGTAAAGTTACGTTATAGTTACGAGCACTATGAAACTTTCACCGTGGTTGCGTGTTCGTTTAAATGCGATCTCGAAATTTCTACCGACGTGTGTAAATGAAACGAGACGCAAATTTGCAATTATGTTCTTGTCTCGTTATTCTTTCTGTCGCCGCGATGGTTTCAGCGATGGGAAGGCATACGCGCCTGCAAGGCCGCGATGCTGAAAGTATGATCGGACGGTAAACATTGGCGTGCAGTTATTTCTCAAGTGACGCATTGCCGAATGTCACAAGTAAGATATTGACAAATATTGTAGAGGTAGCGTCTTAAAAACGAGCGCTTCAGCCGGCAACCGCTCGCCGGTCACTCGATCGATAGATCGCGTGCGACCGCGTTACGTTACGTACGGCCTAAAAGCGCGTTGTCTAGTAATATCGCGAAAAGGGAAAACGGGGTCAACTGGGTGCACTTACGACCTGGTCATCGATCAGGTGCGATCGCTAAGCAAATGATAAAGTAAAGCGACCGTTTCGGTACTCGGTAATGCTCTTGGTTCTGATTCGCTGATAGCGTTCTTATTTGCGTCCTTCTAGCCGCTCGTTCGCACCCACTCGGCCCACATAAGCGCGCGATGTAAGTCAATGGAATTGCTTAAGGTCGGCTTAGCTCTTGCGCTTGGCTGCCTTTTCATTTTTCACGATGCGTATTTCTTCGTGTCTGTGCCGTCGATCTCAATATCGTGGAATTACATATTAAACACTGGATCTATAACTGCGTATAACTCGTTTAATAGGATGACATTGCTCGATCGCGATCTCAGCGACACGCAAATATCGAGGTATAGCACATTTTTGTCGTAAGACACCATTGATCTCTCGTCGGAGACCTCCCGTCGAAAAATACAAAAATAATCCAATAATGTCCAATAATAGCGATGAGGCAAAGAATGACGCCAAATGATAATCGAACGACGCAGAATCTTATATATGAAATTATTTTGTCTTCAGAGTACAAATAATCGGATATAATTGAATTTACTGAAAGATAAATAATGTAATTGGCCATTGGCACGCATTTAGACAACACAAAGAATAAATAATACGGTCTAGCTTAGATTTCGAAGAAGTGAACTTTTCGAAACGCTATGTACCATATGAGCGACAAATTCATTGAATTCGCCCCCATTGCTTATGCGCGTTCATCGACATTCTTTTGTCCGACGTTCTCTCATCACTTTCTTCTCCTTCTTCTCCTCCACTACCACCACATTTTCAAGATCCATCGATTTTTTTCTCCCACCTACAAATCAATTCGAATTATGTATACGCTTGTATTATCCGTTGAAAAAAATTCTCCCTCTCTTTTCTCCATTTTTTCTCGATGCTCACTTAAAGCTAATATTTTTATGACTTTGGTGGTTAAAATTAGTCCATATTTCATAAACATCTACTCAATGTTTTTAATGGAAATTTATGCAAAGATTAATTCTTCTTTATGGATTAGTTCTTGTCTTTCCTTTTTTTTTTTTGTTTTTTTTGTTTTTTTGTTTAAATAGAAAAACAGAAAATACAGGTACACTGTTTCAATTTTTCTTTTCTCTTTTTACGTTTAATTAATGTGTATATCTCATTATACTACTAAGCAACTATCAATGTAGATGCAATTTATTCGTTTGACACTTAGCATCGCATTAATGTGCAATGTTAAGTAAGGATACGCTGCATTACTATTAATTGAAAAACAAATAAAATAAAGGATAAAACAAAGTATACTTGATTTGTCCTTGTCTTTTTGTTTCTTTTTACATATGTCACTATAATTTCAAGATGAAGATGATCTTGTTTACGGTAATATGCAAGAAGATTATTTCTACGACATTGTTTTAAAAGTTCATAAATACTGTAAAACCTGTGTAAAATTCTCTAAATATTATCCATTATGCTCTCGCGTATGTTTTTCCAAGCAGTTATTTATGTGGGAAGTAATATGTACACACGCTATTGATTAAGCATGAAAAGCATGCAGTTATGATTTATCTTGGAAAATCTGATGGGCAGGTCAGATTAGTCGTTCGTTTCTTTCTATGTTGTTTTCGTAAAGGTACCGATTTTATGCACAAAGCCTCGCTCGAAAAAAGCTTGACCCCAATAAGAAAAAACATATCTATCGTCGGAGAAATTGACCGATGGAAAATTGATTGACGAGTCAATGTCAGGTAGGGACAGCGTCACCCACCTCCCGCTCCTTGTCGAAGGATGAGTGAAACGTGACGGGCCTTTCTCAAACATAAAAAAATCGCTGTATACCTTGGCGGTTAATCTCGGCGAAGCCGAAGGTTGACACGCGTACGCAGCCTGTTTTCTAAAGCGTTGGATAAGTCAAAGACAACGACGGCGGTGAAGGGCGGAGTGAGTGCCGAGAACCCTCGGCGATGGTCAGCGTTTATAAGTTGCCACGTTGGAGAAATTCCAAGAGGCAAACGACATTACGACCGCCACTTTTGGTAATGGTGATGGGCCATTGATATATCATCGGGCAATATCTCATTCGCCCAGCAGCTGAGGCATTTTTATAAGCGCTGGTGAATTCCCTCCTACCTTTCTATAACCTCGGTTGTCGAGGTCTCGGAAGCATCGACTCCGAGCATAGGCCGACGCAGCAAAAGTATCCTCTTTAATTTAAAACGCAAATTCATTCTGTAATCTAAATAATCAAAATGAGTGAAAAGAAAATACAGTGTATATGCAATAGGCACATCGCGTGCTGGATTGATAGAATGTAAAATGTAGATTAAATATGCAAGGACCAGGATCACAACAGGTTTCCTCTAATATTAGTTATTATTGTTATCACATTTACTGCGTGCTCGTACTCTATTAGCTCTCGTATATATTGGCATTCAATAACGGGACAATCG